GGTCAAGTGCACACAAACATGAGTCTATGACTTTGCTTAGTCATAACCTGTATCTTTTTCACTTTTCCCTGAGCAGAGCTGTCCTGAGCATCACAGTACTGCACATGGTCCTTGGAGGTTGGCAGCCCCAACTTCTGACTCTGTCTTTAAGTTTGTACACCATTGTCTGTTTCAGACAACTTTAGAGACCAGACCAGTAAAAACAAACCATGGTTTGATTAACAGTCTCAAGTTTTGTTTCATAGTCTGTATATACTTAATGCTCTGCTTTTCAAATCTTAATTTTGAACTTTTATAAAATTTCAATTTTTTTCTTTTTCTCAGAATGACTGTAAACTACCACTTGACAGACATAGTTTGTTAGAATAACACGTTTACTAGAAGGATAAGAAGAACAGAGTTGCCACTTATGTAAAAATAAAATATGGCAATGATTTTAAATATTGGAAAACCCAGCAATACACTTTACATCCCAAAATGAACGATCATAGACTGTGAAGGTAGCATAAGTGGCAATTTTTTGTTCAATTTATTACATATGCTGGTGTAAACATTTTACATCAGGTAAGGAATGCCATGGATGACGTGAACAAAGCTAAGATGACTGTCGGGTTTTTTCCCTGGGTGACTACGGGCTACCAGGACTGTGCTAGTAACGTGGTCTCTTAGGCCTGAAGAAGCTGTAGTTAATGATCATAAAAACAAAGGCAGTCTTGTTCACTTTGGTGAGAAAAAACTTTACATGAGAGTAATAGAGATTTCTAGAAAGAGGTGGGGTGGGAGAGGCAGAGAGGAAAACTGTAACCAAGCACTAGAACCAAATACCTGAAATAAAGAATCATGTTTGGGTTCACAAATTGAAAAGGAGTGTCTGGTCCTAGACAAAATTCATGAAAAGACATGAGGAAGGAGGCCACGTGAACAGGAAATTCTTGAATTCTAACATTAAGATGAACAGCTTTCAAGATCACCAATTTCTACCAGCAGGGCAGTCTGACAGTTGGCAGAGCGCTTGTCTGGCATGCGGGAAGCCCTGGGTTCATTCTGCAGGCACACAAACCAGCGGTGCCACACAGCTGTGCCACAAACCTGTGATCTCAGGGCTTGGGAGGGGTAGAAGGAGAATCAGAAGTGCAAAGCCAGTCTAGGCTACGGGAGACCTTGTCTCAAAATTGGTTTTCACTAAATACTAGAAGGACTTTTTTTTTTTTTTTAAGTTAAAAAAATAACAGGATTCAGACTAACATGAAGTGATAGAGTCCAGAAGGCCCCAGAGTGTGAAGGAAAGTCTCCAGGGAGAGCAGACTGCAGACCAGAGCTCCCAGTCATGGGAAAGATATCAGTCATACTTTAGATCCTAAAGCTTTTCTTCCCTAAAGTTAATGGGTTGCAGTGGGAGAGACATGGACCCATGTGCTCACACTAATGGAAGGCCTCTGAGCACTGGTCAGAACAGACAGAAAACAGCACCCACTCTGACGCTGTCACTGAAGACCAGCTCTGTGACAGAAGGGTAAAGAAAGGATGAGAGGGACAGGAAAGCAATCTCCTCAGGAGGGGCCACGACAACGACCTTACTTGACCCTATTTCAACTAAACACATGTGTAGGCTGGTGACAGGGCCAGTGGAGAGGGGAGAAAGAAGGACACTTCAAGGTTCTCATGCCAGCATGGCAAGTAGGGGTTAGGCATTACAGATGAGGTCATAACCATGCTTATACAAGAATGAGTGAATAGGGCTAGAGAGGCAGGTCAGTTGTAGAACCCATGCTTAGCAGGCTTAAGGTCCTGGGTTCAATGCCCAGCAATGCATAAATTTAACTAATGATTCAATTATGATCCTCTGAACATAAGAACTTGATAGATTAAGAAGTATCACCCCAGGGTTTCGAGAGATGATTCAGTGACTAAGAGTACATGTTGCTCTTCAAGAGGGTCAGGGTTCAATTCTCAGCATCCTCACAGTGGCTCACAGCCATCTCTAACTCCAGTTCCAGGAGTCCAACACTCTCTTTGGCCTCCATGGGCACCAGGCATGAACACAGACATAAGTGTAGACAAAATGTCCAATCACATAAAATAAAAACAAAAAGCATCATCAACCTTCCAAATTCACCAGAGGCAACAAAGAAAATTAAAAGGAAATGTTAGTCTTCTAATAAAACAAAGAAAATTGAGGAGATGGCAATAACACAGGAAAATAAGAGGTAAGTGTATCTACTCTTAGAGGAATAAAATATAGGCTTATCATGCTGAGGATAGCTTGAGTTCACCCATCTGGGGAAAAGGTTGGCAATGAGGAATTTTTCAGTGCAGCATGAATTCTAGAATCCAGTGCTCAAAGGGACGAACCCAGAAATCAGTTCATCAACCTAGACCTCTCTGAGCTCCGTGGAGACGATCTGGTACTAAAAACACCAAAGGCCTGTTTCTCCCTAGATGTGTCAGAGATAGAGTGGGCCTGAGGTTTCCCCTCCTGGCTTCCTCAGAGAATCCCTCGTGAGACACAAATTTATTAGAGATCACCCACTATCAATCATCCACACTGGCTGCATTCTCCCTCCACACTGCTATCAAAGTAGTCTTTCTAAAGCCAGAATTTAGAAGGTCACCCAGCCATCCCCATTGCCCAGGAAGAAGCTCTTCCCTTATCGTTTTCATTTCTTCCTGCAGATTCTTCTGTAAGAATCATTAAAACAATAAGATGTCGTTAAATTTTACGTGTCGATCCATTGACGACTGGGAACATCCAAGGCTCAACCTTCTTAAATTTACCAACTAAATAATTAAGTTGGTCAGAACCTTGCCCCCTTGAGACTTGTGTTCTGTCACCGCTGCTTCTACGGAGCTGGGTGCACTGGCGTCCTAATGACGGTTCTGCTTCTATTTATTGTGTGACAGACCATTAAGCCTTTCCTGGTTTGTAGGTCTTTATCAGCACTTCCTGAGGGTGAGAACCCCTGTCTCACTGTGGCATGAAAAGCCAAGAGTTGGAAGCATTAAAAGTATAACAGATACACACGGGTGTTTAGTTTCTTTGACTTTGGCTCTGTGTTTATAGCTGTGAAAATAGAAGCTCCCGGGTGTGTGCCCCCTGGGGACCCTTTGAATATGATGACTTGTTAGTGTATTTATTATCATCGGTTAGCTGCTCGTGCATCCGCTTGGCAACCTGTGACGACCCTACAATTGGATCCATCCTTCTCCAAAATGGCACCGCTGTTCATGTAAGTCTTTTGAGTACAACACCATCACCATAACTGCCCAAATGAGTTTGGTATACAGAAAACTTTTGAGGCAGTACAAGCAAACCACCTTGTACGAATGTTCTTGGAAGAAAACCCCAAACCTTCAGCATGGCCGTTGCATTCTAAGTTGTCTGAGCCCTGACTTCCTTGTCAGCCTCATCTCGTGTCATCCGCAGCTTCTTCCCTTCCTAAACTCAGCCACATCTGACCGGGTCCAGCCTCTGACCTTCCTTTATCAACTACAGGCACTTTGTACTATTCAGCTATTCCCTGCCTGTTTAACCTGGATCTTTGGTACACTCTCTCATAGAAATGAGTTTTGCCTACACTTGTCATCGGCTCATAGGCTTATTTGACTGATGTCTCTTTCACTAGTATTCAGCTGCTCTCAGCAGAGTGGGCATACCTAGTTTTGTTCACCATAGTTCACACAATTGCCAGCACAGCATCTCCTGTGTGGCAAGTGTCCAGTGCTTCATGAATGAATGGATGAGTGAAAATAGTAAATGAATGGATTTCCTGACTCATGTCATATATACTGGCTGGGCATTTCAGGAGGGTTTTGTGTTTTTTTTGTTTTGTTTTGTTTTGCATATCTGAAAAAACAAATGACCCAGAACTGTTCTTGGTACTTATTCCTGGTAAAACCAATGCGGAATGACCCTTTTTGCTCATTCATTCTTCTTAAGAATTTTGAGTAACTTTAAGACAGCATAAGATCAAATGGTGAATAAATCCAATTTTGGTTTTGACAAATTTTTCTTTGGAGAGAAAAGTAATGTCTAGTTCTTTGTACCACTGAAAAATGCATTTCCAGATGGGTTTATAACACTGAAAATTCTACTTTCACTTCTTCTATTAAAGGCAACACACACACACACACACACACACACATACACACACACACTTAATGTTTCACTTCACTCATCCCAATTTCAAGAACAAGACCCATAATTAAATACAGAAGGGAAAAACAATGCATAAGTGTATACAGTAAGAATCAGCAAAAAACATGTGTAATAATTTATGCTCACATAGCCCTAGTTAAACTGTTCATGTAGAGTCTGATAAATGCCATCCACAAAAGAAGAATAAGACTCCAGAACATGTAAGGTCTAGAGGGGCTGCTGAGCTCTCATTCATCCACTCCCCCTTTTCTAAATTTCAGGATGACCTTTATATTTCGTGTCTTTTAAAAAACCTTATAAGAGCAGTCTGGGTTGATCTGGCTCTGTCTTGAAAAACAAAGCAATCAAGAAGGAAAAAAAGAAAAAAAACTATAGCAGTCCGATCATTTAAGACATAGGACCATCCAGGTAAGATTAAAGTCAAAATTCTTCTTTTGGAAATCTATCCACTTTATTCTCTACTATGGAAAGATTTTCAGCCCAAATGCCAGGGCTATTTAATTTTCATTCCATTGACACAAGCCATCTTGCCTTTCATCTTTCTCTGAAAACAGTGAGCTGGTCTCCTACTTTATACACTGACAGGTAACCCAGAGCAAGTAGTTTAAAAATTTAATGGTCTGTTGAAACATACTTTTTCATGTTAAAACACAGTATCAAAAGAAGCAATGCAAACTCGATGCCATCGATGCTGAAGGCCTGAGCCATGAGTTGGAGTGCTTCTGAAACTGTCTATGCTTTCAAAAAAAAATAATAATCCATTTGTACCTAATTTTTTTACTTTAGATTTTCTTAATGTTCTCTGGAATTATAACTTAATCAGAAGCATGGACAGGCCACTCACCTGTTAAAACTCTGGTCTGGAAGCAGAAGACAAAGACACACCAGAAATATAACTTCATGTCTGCCAGGAGCTGCTGCAGTCCTCCCCTCCCGTGTTCAGAAGTGGCAGTGAGTGCGTGTTCTCAGATGTTTTCTGTTTTCTGGAGAGGAAGTGGGTTTGTGGAGGTTGACACGGTGTCACATTTACCATCCAGTCAAAGGTTCTGCAAGGAGAGCTAACACAGTGGCTCCCGTATGACGGGTGCCCAGTGCTGCCTGAATGGATGAATAAGTGAGTGAGCAAATGAATGAGTGAGTGAATGAATTTCATTTTCAAAGCAATGTATGCATCACTCGTGCTGCCAGGGGCTTCATGAGCGGTTGACGTTGATGCTGTGTGGAAAGGGTTAGGGTTTTTAGGGTGGATGTTTAAAGTCACAGATTTTTGTTGCTCATGAAGACAGGAGGAAAATGTTGCCCTCATTCTGGTTAGAGACACAAAGCCTATCGTTTTGAGAAGCCATTCATTCAGAAATATCTCTAGATCCATAGCAGGATCCAACCCACATGATGAATAAGACGTACTTTGACACATTTCTGTCTGGGCTCCAGGGATTAAAAGTCCTTTGAAATAGGACAGAAAATAAATGAAGTTATTGAAAGAAATTGAAATTTTAAAACATCTGAAAGAGGAACATCCTGAGATTCTGAGAGATAATACTTACATGTAGAGTCATTGTAGATTATGATTTTTATAAATGATAGGGTCAGGTTGAGACTGACTTAACCCTTGCTCCGTATGTTACGGAGTCTGTAGAAACTCGGGAGTCTGTCTGCATGTATGGGCGCAGATGAAGCAAGAAAGCTAAAAAGCCTGAGAGGCATCTCTGTCCCTGCCAAAAAGAGAAAGGAGGTAGCAGTAACGCAAATAATGTATGTATAGCCGCCTAAACTTTGTATGAAATATATCTCAATTAAAAATCTACATAAAAATGTAAAGGGAGAGGGAGATCGCTCAGTGGGTCAGAGCGCTCGCTGTCAAACGTGAGGATCTGAGTTGAAATCCTAACAACCCAGTAAAAACAGGTATGTGGCTATACATACCTGAAACCCCAGAATAGCACAGCAGGGCAGAGACAGGTGGGCCCCGAGAGCTCAGGTGTCAGGCAGCCGAGGCAAAATGATGAACCTCAGGTTCCATCTATGACAGACCCTGTCTCAAGCCGGAGCGAGGAGGAAGATAGAGGAAGATGGCCAATGTTCTTTTCTGCCCTGTGTACGCCCTGCTCATATGCCACACACAGCACATGCAGACCACACACCACACACATGCACACAGACACACAATTCAGTGTAGAACAATACATGTTGACTATGCATAAAATATCCCATACTATGAATACAGTTAATACTATACTTACATTGTTTTTGGTGGATTTTGTGTATGTTGTGCATAAATATGTATTTATACACAAATATATATTCATATTATTATATATTTATTAAGTCACTTATTACTATTAATCACCCTATATATTGGGGTCAACTATTTTCCCCTTCTCACAAGTAGGGGAAAATGAGGCACAGAGAAGCATAAGGCCTGGCCCGTAGTCCTGCATAATTGTCTGTGCTGGCCTTTGGAGAGTCTAGCTCCCGAATTTGCACTCTTAACCAAGCAGAAAGAGCCCTTCATGCCAAGGCCTGCGATCCTGTCAGTCACCATGATCTAGCTGTGGTCTTCCTCAACTACCTCATATTTAGCCTTTCCTCCCTGCAGCCTGTGTCAGCAACGTTCGCCGTTCAGTGTGGGTCCACAGGGAGGGCATGGAGTGCTCTCACCAACACCAAGGTGCCCCAATTCTAGAGCCCATTCACAGTTTCACGAAGACGGTTGGAGGCAAAAACTCAGCACCTGCACTGTTACAAAATGCATTCGGGTCTCCTAACAGCTCTACCAAGGAGATCTCTTTCTCATTCCTGGGTCATGGATGAGAAACTGAGAGTGAGAGGGAGTGTGTGATGAACCCAGGGTCACAGAGCTGACCAACAAGGGAACACAGCCACACTCCAGGGTCCACACTGGACATTGCCATCACACACTGATGCAGGCCCGTGTCCAGCCAGCCAGAAAGCACTGGCCATGTTTTTATTGAGGAAAGTCCTAAGGAGCTCTCTAGCTTCCCTTGTCCCTGGTTGCGTTCTTAGAAATGATTACATGTGGGAGAGACATAGCTGGATGACGCCACTGACTTTGCTGAAGATGACTCCACTGAAACCATCCGCATGTTAGAAGCTGTTCTCACCGAGGTTTTTTTTTTTTTTTTTTTTTGGGGGGGGGGGGGGGGGTGAGGGGAAGATGACTTTTGCCTGGATAGTAATTCACTGGACAATTAACTATTTCTGTGACATAGAACTAAAAAGTCGTGATTTGCAGCCTTTCTAATCAGTAACTTTTCTCCAGACTTACAGAATCCAGAATTTCCAGGGACTACAGGTAACAGCAGCCCACGTGTTGCAGTAGCATAGCATCCAAAGCGTATAATTACCCTGGATTATGGAACAGCCCCCACGTCTCTATCTTATTTGGTTTGATAACTTTCCAAACAAGCGCGTCTCCTCGCCATGATAACTTATCCTTGAGTCCCTGGCTTTTTCCTTTCACAAGCAATGAACTCAGGTTCGGGGTTGCGTCACTTCATTGGCCTTCTATGTTCACGGAGGAAGAGTATTAGGAAGTACTAGAGGAAGTTCCAAATTCCTGCAATGCAAAAAACAACTTTTCGAATGAAATTTAAGTGTAGGGTTTCTACCTCCAGGGGAGAAAGGTTGGACCAGTTATGGTTGAACTTCACTCTAATTCAAGTGAATATGTATGTTTTTGTTTGATATGAATCTGTTGGCCTCTACCATGCTTCTCGATAGAAGGGACATTTGGTACAAAGCAGGGGAGCAAAGCTAGCTTCTACGTAAATGATGTTTATCGCCCACATCCCTGCTTCCCAAAAATCTCCGAAAAGAATACAAATGGTTGTGGTTTTAAATATTCAGAACCACTTTCCTTGTGCCTGAAAAACAAACTGAGTATAAAAAGCGAAAAGAGAGAAAAAATTTCCATTCAACACCCCCAGGAAGTACTTTTTATTTGCTTGGTTTTTTTTTTGTTTTTTTTTTTTTTTTTTTTTTTTAATTCCATGACTTAAGTAGGTTTTGATTTGTGTGTGCAGAAACTGGGGCAAGGGTGGTGAGTGGATGGAAAGTTTGTTGCTTTAAAGGGTGTACAGCTCTCTCTGCTACGCCTCGTGCTCGCCTTTTTCAACTGCTGCAGGTATCTTCATCTTACCTTGCTTAGAGCTGTCAGAAAGCAATGTTTGGGGGAAGCAGAGGAACTCACACACCAGGTCTCTGAGAACAAAAACTAGGAATTAAAATGAACGTCCCGAAGGCACCAATGAGTCCCTTGCGCTGCGTTTACATTTTGAAGTGTGCAGGCATGAAAACAGCCCAGTTCTTACTAATCAAAACGGCGCCTTCTCCCACACGTTCTCTGTGGAGCAAGGCTGCCATGCGGCCGCTCAGCCAGCCCTCTTCTTCCTCCCATTGACTCCCAGTGAGCCTCAGTTCCTGTCCTTCCTAGCTATGTCCCAAGTATTTTTCTTCTTTCCTTCCTCTCCTACCAGGGTCACTGCCTTATCAGCATCCATTCTCCCTCTCTCTTCACCTTCTAGACCTTCCTCTTCCCATTTCAAAGACTTCCACCAGCATTGTAAATGTAAGTTTCCCCCCCCCCTCCCTCCATGGCTTCCTGAGGCTGTTAGGTTAGGACCAACCGCCCCTCATGACTCTGTACAGGGGTGCCTTCCTCTCTTGTTCCTCATCTCTGGATGCATTTGTTCCTTCCTCTTCCTGTATCAAATGCTTATGCCACTCTGAGACCACTGAGATGTGGGCTTCTCCAAACCCCCTCCCCCAGCAGACACTTCCTCCTTTTCTTGTCCCTCTTCTCACTCCCCCCCCTCTCAGTGTCCTTTCTTCTACAGAAATCCTGCTTTTGTTTAGGCCTGGGCTTTCACAGTCATCAGTTTAGGGAGCAAGACTTGCCCGAGTGATTTCATTCACTAGCTTCTTGGTGGTTTTTCTGCATCCGTTTGCTCCAATGCCCCGTGCCATCTGAAAACTCAACATATGGGTATGATGAGTGCGATTTTTGTCAGCCTAAAAGCAAACAAAAATCCAGAGAGAATTTTCATAGAAATAGTGGCATCTGTATGGGAATAGTTGAACACTGCAAAGGGGGCACACAGGTGTCATAGTTAATGATGGCATGCATATTCCAAGATAGTGAGGCATTGGGAAGTTTTTAAAGACAAACTGAGGGTTACATCAGACACTGAGAAACCCTGGCCCTGAGGGTTCATAGTGAGAGAGCCATCAGTCTGAGGTTGAGCAGAGGCAGAGGCTGTCTGAGGCTGGGCAGAGGCAGTTGTAGAAGAATCTTTTGAGTAAGATTGTGGTCCTGGAAGATTATTTTGTAATAGTTTCTATCAGGCAATCTTAATTTAAGAATCCTTCCCTTAGAATGCACCTTGACTTTTTGGAGGGTGCAGGAGAGGTTGAGTTGACACAAGTGACTCCATTTTGATTCTGATAGCTTTCACTTTCCCCTCCCACTTCCCTGTAACTACACCTGGACTGCTAGCAGCCTCACACCAAGGAATGCAGGTGCCTTTACACAGCTGTATCTGAAGTGGCCCGTGGGTGACCCTCAACGTCACTGACTGACTCCTCCTGGTTTTCGGAGAACCATGTTACTTCAGTAACGCCTTCCGGTGACCATTTTTTTTTTTTTATCTGTGTGTGCATGTGCGCATGAGTGCATGTGTGTCTCCATGTGCATGAGCAGTGCCCACGGAGGCCAGAGGAGGGAGCTGGATCCCCGGAGCTGTCATTACAGGGGGCTGTGGACCACCCCATGTGGGTGCTGGGAGCTGGGTGCAGGAACAGGCACATGTTCTTAAGCAGTAAGCCGTTTCTCTTTCTTTTAAATGATACTGTGAACACAGATCAAAGCCTATTTGTATTT